TAGGGATAGTGATTGATTCCTTCCCTAGTCTAAAAGGGTGCCCCAACAGGAATTTTTCACCTAGTGTTCCTATTTAAAGGTACTAATTTTCTTCTGCCCCGTTATCTCATCGCATGGCTTCAGAAATTCTTGCTGAAGCGGTAGCCTGGAGTTCCTTATGTCATTTCCTAAAGATGTACTAGTCACTCCAGAGATATATATATTTATAAGCCATCTGCCCACACACAGTGTCTAGACAGACTCTTGCAAGTAAAAGTAGTGCTGTGGGAGCGTGTGTGGGCGGTGACTCGGAAGCAGAGAACTCCCCTGTCATTGCTAGTATACACACGCATCAATGTTCTGTAGCTGCTTACATAACAGCAGTTAACTTATGCCTGCTTGTTTCCTCTGCAGCTAACAGTGTACTTTCACAGTAAAGGGATCCCACCAGCCAGTCAGTTTTAAGGATGACATAGGGGATCTCTGCTGCTCTGCCATTGTCCACATGCCCACCTGGAACACCCTCATTAATTGGCACCAGAGGAGGCGAGCAGAATCAGTTTAAAAGTTGTGTTATGAAGCAGCTGCAGGACATTTCTGTGTGACAGAAGCCAACTCCACTAACCCTTTTTGTGCCTACATACAGTCCATATAATCACTTACTCTAATCACTTACAAAGGTGGAAATGGGCTTTAAAGAAAAACTCCAGGCAGAAGAAAAGTTAACCCTTGCAGTGGTGCAAAATAAAGAAGATTGACTACATGAACTAAAGACTTGTGATGTCATAATTTCCAATACAGCAAATTAGATATGAGGACACTGAGGAACATACCATCGCTGGAGTGGAGAAGGGGGGAGCCAACCAGATCCAAGTTCGGCAGAGTATATTTATGTTTTTTTAGACCATAGACAAAAATGAGCACTTAACCCTTGCAGTGTGGGGTTAGCCCCATTGCAAGGGTTCAGTTTTCTTCTGCCCAGAGTTCTTCATTAATTATGAAAATATTTAATTGCAATATATGAAATTGTTTTGAAAGTGAAAAGGTAGATTGGTAATAGGAAGGAAACATAACTTAACAAACTTGAAAATATAAAGTCGGTTTCATGATGTAGATTACCTACATTGTATTGGAATTTGCAGTCCCTAAACATCTCCACATATAAGTCTTGGCTGGTCCTATGCTAGGAACCTCCATATTATGCACATTTTGTAAACATCACCAAGTCTATCTTTAGAGCACTGCAGCTCCGGTACGAGAACTCTCGCCTTCTGTTGGTAGATGATAAGGATCAGCATTTCCATAGACCAGGGGTTCCATAACCCTTAGGGGCATGAAAACCAAATCATAGAGGTATGGGACTGGATCTCTGAATCATTGTTAAAAATGTAAAACATGATTTTCTGCATTGTTGGACCAGAATTCCAAGTGGAGAAATAGACTTGATGTGTCACATGACATGCAAGCAACATTGTCAGCAGCTGTACCTTGATTCCATGTGTTAATTGCACAAAAACAACAACCCAAAACTTACTAGTTTTAGCTAGCTTTTCTATTTGTGATTTACATTATTTATGTAACTGAATATGATACAGTTCTCTATGATTTTCTTTCAGCTATTCTGTTCCTAGCTATCTACAAGTAACGTAAAACCAAGCTATTGACATCTTTTGAAGTCATACTGGTACTTAATAGAAGTGGTGAGAATAATGATTTTGACAGTCTTGGAAATGGTTTATGGGTACCTAGTGAGCAATTCATCAGGAGTCTGTAATTGTAAAAAAAAAAAAAGCTTAAGAACCCGTCCCATAGACAAAAGTCATTTCTTCAGAAAACAAAGAGTGCATTGCCTGTTTAGAGCAGTTTTCTTATGTCAACAGCTCATCAACATAAGCAGTTTCTTTACTGAATTTTGTTTCTACAGTAGCATAGTTCCTCTGCATTGTGCAGGATGTGTTTCAGTACTATCCCTTACGTACTGGTATATTGTTTTAGCTTTTTTCCTACATCATACTATCCAGTGTGTTCTCCCTCGTTATATCTGTTATTCATACTCATTGCATCATTGCAATGCCCTAACATTAGAACTTTAGTCCTCTCCAATTTATGGGGGCATCCATGTGTGTCTTTATATGTCTGATTCTCCTTTATAAGGCTAGATCAGAGGTTTTCAACCTCTGTCAGCTCATAAGACATATTCAAATATAACAAGTCTATGCACATCCACTTTAAGATATAGATGTGCCAAGCTACAGCTACATTTTTTTATAATGACACTTAAATGCATAATGGAAATGTGTATCATACCTTCCTAGCTGTAGAAGGCCAAAAGAAAAAAATGTCATATTTATGGAAGCAAAATATTCAAATAGATTATATAGGCATATATAAGCACACACATGTATTTACTGTGTTTGTGTATATATATATATATAGATCTATATATACACACACACACACACTTACATGTTTGTGGTTATAGTTTCACACAACTTTCACCCAAGAGTCACACATTTTCTAATGGATTTAATTGGGGAAATGTGTAAGTCCTGGGTGATAAGTGTGTGTAAAAATAGGCCACACAGAGTGTAGCATATTTCACATATACATTCTAGTTCAAGAAGTATATGTCCACACTGCTCACTTCATGACTTGAATCCTCATTGCCCCCCTACCCGCCAAACCCCAATGAAGAATGGCAGACCAGCAGGCTACATACAAGTGATCTCGGTAACATCGCCGAGATCACTTGTACAAAACAAGTGTCAGTTTCCCTGCTGTTTCCCTGCTGTACATTTAGCTCTTCTAGCCCAAAGCAAGGCTAAATGTAGAAATAAAACTACCCGCCTGGCGCCCGGAACTGCATGTCCCGGCCGTCGGGAGATAGGAATTCCACACCCCTGCTGCCCCTCTACTCCCTGCTGCCCTGAGGCTGGACCTTGGTTGGCCTTGTGGGATATCCGGCCCTGTGTATCAGACAGTGTATGTGTAGATGGCTCTTCAAGAGCTCTTCAAGAGGTCACAATAGCCCTGCATGCATTGGGCTGCAGACAGAGCCCATTCCTGCTTTAACTCCCACTGGTTCTAGGATTCATATAACTGTGGTGTCCATTTGCACTTGTCTGTATGTTCAGTGCAGTGTGTGTGTATATATGTTTTGGG